GAGCAGGGAGCCCGATGCGGGGCTCGATCCCAGGACCCTGGGATCATGACCTGAGCCGAAGGCAGACGCTTAATGACGGAGTCACCCAGGCGCCCCTACTTCTGCCCAATTTTTATATCCTGTAACCGTAATTAGGTATACTCCCTTTGAAATGCGAAGACCTAAGGCTTTAGTAAAGCTTAATGGTCAGGGTATCCATGAGCTTTATTTAGTGTCAAAAAGAGCCAGTCTTAATTTAGACTCCTCCATTTGCTGGCTCTATTACCTTATACAAGGCTACTGACCTTCTTCAAAGTAATTTCTTCATCCATGCACTGGAGGTAATAATATTTACCCTCATAGAGTCTGAGAACTCATATAAACAGTCACTGATTTATAGTAAGCAATCAATATAAGACAGCTTTATTACTTACATTGGCCACCACTTTTACTTCTTTGTACTGTGCTTCATAGAAAATTCCAGCATTTTCCAGTGCTTCTGTTAGTGAGGGCCCATTTTTCACCTGCTTATCTAATCCATTCACAAATTCCTCGAGCTTGGAACTTGCCTCTTCAAATTCTTTGGAGAACTTCTTTCCACCTGTCTTATCTAAAATAACACAGAAGTATTCATTTCAGGATAAAACAGAATATGTAAAAAACCTAATCTTTTTTTATTTAAGATTTTATTTATTTTTTTGACAGCAAGAGACATAGCGAGAGAGGGAACACAAGCAGGGGGAGTGCGAGAGGGAGAGAGAGAACCAGGCTTACCGCTGAGCAGGGAGCCCGATGCGGGGCCTGATCCCAGGACAATGGGATCATGACGTGAGCCGAAGGCAGATGCTTAACGACTGAGCCACCCAGATGCCCCCAAAATTTAATCTTTTGAAGAAAACCCCTTTTACATAATCTGTGAACCTGAAACTTGTCTTCTTAGTCTCAGTTTCACCTTAAAGGAGCTTCTCCAAGTCACAAAACCCACAAAACAGATTATTAAAACAATTCATGTGAATCTGCTAGAGTGTAGCCAAGAGTATATCACGAAGGCACCTATAATTAAGGTAAAGAAAAGAAAGTTCAACTAAAAGAAACTCTTTTCATTTCTTTTCTTCATAGATTGGAGGCTGAGCTGCTAATTAGGAGTAACAAGATGAGGCTCAATTCTGTTCACTTAGATTCACCACAGGATGTGAGAAAATAGATGTTCAGAAAAGTAAAGTTAAAGTGACCTCTGTATGTATCACATTAAAAATTCTTCTTTTTATGCGCCTAGGTGGCTCAGTTTAAAAAAAAAAAGAAGAGTAAATAACAGTTTGTAATATCACTATTGTTGAAAAAACAATTCATGGTTTGTACTCTTATCAGGGATCTTCTTCAGATAGGAAAGAAGAACTTTTTTTTTAAGATTTTATTTATTTGACAGAGAGAGAGATAGCGAGGGGCAGGAACACAAGCAGGGGGAGTGGGAGAGGGAGAAGCAGGCTTCCCGCTGAGCAGGGAGCCCAACGTGGGGCTCGATCCCAGGACCCCGGGATCATGACCTGAGCAGAAGGCAGATGCTTAACAACTGAGCCACCCAGGCGCCCCTGTTACTTATGCTTCTAAATATACATCTTTCCCAGTGACTACTGGAATATGGCTTCAAATATGGGTACAAATTTTGGCTTTGCTTTTTATCAACTGTGTAACTTGCTTAGTAAGCTACTCATCTCCTTATGAAGCCTCAGATTTCTCATGTACAAAATGGAGGTTTTTAATATGCTTCTAGGTTGTTGTGAGGATTAAATTAGGTAACAACGGTTAAATTTAAAGTACAAGGCAAGAACAAAACAGGTGCCCAAATGAATAGCTGACCGCCATTTATTCATGATTTCAAAAATATTTATCAAATGCCTATTATGTATCAGGCATTGCTCTAGGCGTTAGGATACAGCAATAAATAAGGATAATTTCTACCTTCATGAGATTTACATTCTAATAATTTATTAATATGATTATTTTTAATTTACAATCTAAGGAAAAGAGAGCAAATAACTAGATTTTATGGGGCATTATGGTGACCTTATTAAAGAATATACCCAAACCACATTATCTATCACACATGTGAAATACATCTGTCTATATATAACCCAACATATCAAGAAAGCACTAGAAATGAGGACAGGGCAGAATTTGTTTTAATTACTGTTTTAGATTTTTTTTCTCCTGCTTTATCGAGATACAATCAACATATAACATCGTGTAAGTTTAAGGTGTGCAATGTGAAAGACAAGAATTTACTTATGAAATTTATATGCATGAAATCACCACTTGGAAGACCAGGTACCACAATTGTTCTCTAAATCCTAAGGTTCTCTTTATGGGAGAAGCAGGTCTGATGACTTAAAAATGATCGATCTGAGAAGAAAATCTGAGTTATTCTATTTAAAAATAAGTATTACCTTTTAAACATTTGAGAGTTTCTGTGCTGCACACATCCACCCTCATGGTTGACAGCTGTTTTTCCTTCAATTCTATCTGATCTTCTGAGCGCTTGTACAACAACAGTTCTTCAATGAGGGCCTGGGACTGAATACAGACCAGAGTCGTATTTTATTTATGAAAACATTCATTCACTTATTCTACCTTCCACCATTAACATAAAACATGTCTAAAATCTAATAAAACCAAGAAGAAACCCTTTGCATTTCCTCATAATCGGGGATAGCACTATCAATTTTCATGCCAAAACCATATTTTTAGTTACATACTTTAAAATATCCTTTCCTTAGTTATTCAAGGTTAATTGAACATATAAGATTAAGACTAAGACAAAGGTCCACTTATTCTTTAAATTTTAATTAGGTAAATATAGTCTTATTATGTTAACTCTAAGCAAATTCTAATTTAGTAGAGCTTCACAGAAGGATGAACCCATTGTTGGGGGGAGTTCAATACAGAACTTGGCTGCTAACAGATATTCTGGAAGAAGGTTAATTCTCCCATTAGGGGAACATATAAAACTCCAAGTAATCTGATCCCAATCTGGATTCTTTCAGAACAGTTTAAAATTGTTTAAAATATAATTTATGTACAATTGAATAAAAATAAATCTTACTGGACTATAGGGGGAACTGTAACAAAAGGGGTGAATAAAGCTTTGGCATATTAAACGTATTCTAGTAACTTACTCGAAATTCTGCAACTATCTTAGACTTGAGAGCAGCTTTTGGATTCGTGGATGCTGTTGAATTAAACAAAAGGTCATTAAGAATACAGACACAAAAGTCAACTAATATTCAGGTAACTTCAGCTTTATAGTTAACGGTGTACACTTTGAACATATGTCAAATATACACGTTTAAATAATAATATAATTCCTAGAATAAATATTCCTAGAATATGAAATTTAAACACTCCCAAGTGTGGCCAATATAAAAATACACTATTTAGATAGGTCTAACCTACTTACCTCCAATAGACACTTTAAGTCATAAAGTCCTAGAATTATTGATTTGGAGATACTGAGATACATGGAGTACCGTTTTTCCCAGTCTGACTGAATTTAAGAGGATCTCAATACCTCAAATTAAGAAAAGAGTGTTCAGGAGCACGACATCCAATCAATCCTGAGCACTGGCTGAAGAAAATTACTTATAAACATCAACTCTATTCCTACGATTTAGCTTTGGATTTCTTTTTCTGCTGACTCAGTTCACAGCAAAAACAGGCAGGGAAAGTTCTAAGTACATTACCACTGTGGTTCAACTTTGGCTGAAATGTTGACTCTTGCTGTTCCTAAGCATGCAACTTATGACCAAAAGGATATCAGAGGACTCCCTTAATCATGATGAATATCATATGCTTGATGGAGTAAAACCATCCCAAGTGTCTTGTTTTACCTCTCAATTCTCACTGTCTTCTACCTTGTTCCCTCCACACCTTCAAGTCTTTCTCAATATTCCTCAGTTTGGCCCACAGCAGCCTATCACATGCAGTATTCCACTCCCTTGATCTCATGCTGGGTAAACATGATAAACATAAAAGGAGCTCCCGTTAGAGACTGAGCTTCTGGCCAGGATTTGAGGCCCATGTCTAATCTGGTAGAGTGTATCCCCAAATCTGAAGGATTTCATGGCTCCCAAAGAAATGCTTCTTAATGCCTAGTCTCCTCTTCAGCTCTGTTGTTTAATGTCAGCTGCCTCTAACTTCTTCTATCTTTCAACCTAAGAGTTAGCCTGGGCACTATCAAGCATTTTTTTTCTTCTTTCACTCCCCAAACTACTCTTGAATCTTCACTCATTTAAACCCTTTTTCTGCATTTCCTTTGTTTAAAAGTAGGGTTTTGGTTTTTGTTTTTTTAAAGAAGTAACTCCATGATGGCTTGTTTAGTATAAATCACTGGGTCACTCTCCCAGGCCTGGAAAATACAGGCTTCCCCACGGTTTATGCCAGGTACGATGTCAAATGGTCTACATTTTCTTCTGCTCCAAAAAGAGGAGGTAATTTTATATTAGTTGAGATTTTGTTCCTTACTTTGTGATTTCTTCCACTGCTTATTCGGTTGTTTGTTCAGATTTTCTTTCAGCTGCTTCTGAGTTTTGAAAGTGGTACCTGGAAAACATTTCAGTTTTTGCAATCTGGCATTATGGGAAGCTGTTCTGTCTGTCCACTTCAGTGTCAAAGTTGTAGCATTGAAAAAAGGCAATCCGAGACTGTGTGTTGTTTCTTTCTTTCTTTTCCCTTCATTTTTATAAAAAAATAAAACACCCAGCAGATCTAAGAAGCTGTCAAATAAACAGGATTTCTATTATCAATAAACTTACTAATTTTGAGAAGAATAGGGCACAAAATACCAGTTAATGCATTCAAATGAATAATTTAACAGCTTCTTAGAAGATGCTATTTTTAAAGCAAATTTCTAGTCAAATAATGGTCATGGTATCAGATATCACCACCAACTTTTATTTAATGACTCAATTACATGCATCTAATACACAGGAAATGAATTTTTAAAACAGGTACACAACTTACTGTAAATCTAAACCAAAACAAAGACTAAAGAATGCCAATATATGCTTAATATCAAATAATTTAGTAGAAACTGAAACCCCATTAAAAAATTCTCCAACAGTAAGAGGACAGGGCAGTAATTATTAAACATACAAAAAAAATGAACAGTTTAAAACACTCAAAGTAAAACATGCAGTAAAATAATCAGATAGCCATCATCACTTAATATGCTTGACTTTTTCTAGTCAATACAAACAAAATCCAACCCTCTCCAAACCAATTCTATTTAAATTTTAATTCAAACAGATTTTTTAAGTATTTAATTTTAAATAAATAGGATCCAATGCAGAACTTTATTTTTCATTATTAAGCAACAGGACCAGATCTATAAAATATCTATAGCTTTAAAGAGTCAAGGACTCAATTTTTTCTTTTAGGAAAGAAAATACACTTACTCAAAGCTTCTCTCAATGCCATAATCATTTCTTCTGGGTACACATTTCTATCTTCCCAGATTTTGAAGATTCGTTCTATAGACTTAGAGACAGATGGATCCCTGAGGATAAAGAAAAAGTGACACAGACATATAAAAATGTTAATTTATATCTCAAACTAGAATCTAAAAATAAAATTGTCAACAAAATTATTTTCCAAGTGTCTTTTGATGTTCAAGACATTTTTTTTCTACAGTGTCTAGTAGGACTAAAATCTTAACAACTCTTTTAAAAAATTTTTTTTTTTTTTTTTAAGATTTTACTTATTTATTTGACAGAAAGCAGGACAGAGAATGAGAGAGAGTGCAGGCAGGGGGAGCAGCAGAGAGAGAGGGAGAAGCAGACTCCCCACTGAGCAGGGCGCCCAATGCAAGGCTCAATCCCAGGACCCCGGGAATCATGACCTGAGCTGAAGGCAGACGCTTAACCAACTGAGCCATCGGTGCACCCCTTTAAAATTTTTTATTTAAATTTTTTGAAATTGAAATACATTTGACACACTTTATTATTTTAATTGAAGTATAGTTAACACATTAAAATCTTAAATATTCTGAGATGCTTGGGTGGCTCAGTCAGCTAAGCATCAGACTCTCGGTTTCAGCTCAGGTCATGATCTCAGGATTGTGAGATGGAGCTCTGTGTTGGGATTAGCATGGAGTCTGCTTGAGATTCTCTCCCTCTGCCCCTCCCCAGCTTGCACACAACATGTGAGCAAATGCGTTCTCTCTCAAGTAAAATAAATAAATAAAATCTTTAAAATCTTAAACATTCTTATTGAATACTTTTTATCAATGACATATATGAGGCTACGACAGCACACTGAGCTTTCTGATGCATATGATATTATGAGGGTTAGTCAAATGTGTTCATTGATACAACTGGTATCCTAAAAGGTAAGGTAAAGGAAGTTTAATAAAATTAAATCTCTTCTTTTTTAAGATTTTACTCATTTGAGAGAGACAGAGAGAGCACGAACTGAGGGGAGGGACAGAGGGAGAAGGAGAGGCAGACTTCCCCCTGAGCAGGGAGCCCAACCCAGGGCTCGATCCCAGGATTTTAATTTTTTTTTTTTTAAGATTTTCTTTACTTGACAGAGAGAAACACAGCGAGAGAGGGAATACAAGCAGGGGGAGTGGGAGAGGGAGAAGCAGGCCTCCTGCTGAGCAGGGAGCCCAATGCGGGGCTTGATCCCAGGACCTTGGGATCATGACCTGAGCTGAAGGCAGACGCTTAATGACTTAAGCCATCCAGGTGCCCCAGGATTTTAATTTTTCTAAATTGAAGTACAGCTGACATACTTTATTATTATTTTTAATTGAAATATAGTTAACACATTAAAATTTCCTTAAATGTTTCAAAAATTTACAGTTGGTTTGTTTGAAATGGGATCCAAAGAAGGTCAATACAATCCATTTGATTATGCCTCTTAAATCTCTTTTAATCTAGAGCAATTAGATTAAATTGTTCAGTATTTTTCCCATTCCATTCATCGATGTTGCAGTCCAGGGGTTGGCTGTCCAGCAGAACATTCCACATTCTCTAGCTTTACTTATTTGCTTCCATTTTAACTTGTTCCATTAACGCCTGAATTTCCTCTAGACGAAAATTAGTTGGATTATATACATATTCACAAATTTTGGGGAGCAAATATTGAATAAATGATACTATATACTTCATACTGCATCCCATCAGGACATACACAATCTCTGGATATCCCATCTTTAATAACACTAAGCCTGATCAATGGAATAAAGCAGTACTTTCTCTTGTGAACTGTGCCTATCTACTCACTAGCATTTTAGTGTTTATCTAAGGAGTAAATAATTATATATATAGGTTTTCCAACATTACAAATCTTTCCCCACTTTGCACTTTAATTTTTAAGTGATTTTATTTATTTTTTTTTTTTAAAGATTTTATTTATTTGACAGACAGAGACACAGCGAGAGGGAACACAAGCAGGGGGAGCAGGAGAGGGAGAAGCAGGCTTCCCGCAGAGCAGGGAGCCTGACATGGGGCTCGATCCCAGGACCCTAGGATCACGACCCGCGGCGAAGGCAGACGCTTAACAACTGAGCCACCCAGGCGCCCCTAAGTTACATTTTAAAACATATAATTTTAGGGGGGTGGGGGAATGGGTTAGCCTGGTGATGGGTATTAAAGAGGGCACATTCTGCGTGGAGCACTGGGTGTTATGCACAAACAATGAATCATGGAACACTGCATCAAAAACTAATGATGTAATGTATGGTGGTTAACATAACAATAAAAAAGTTATTTAAAAAAAAAACAAAAAACATATTTTAAAATTTTGTTTGCACAAAATTATTTTATGGATCCACCAATATAATAAAACCAAATTTTTAGTCAACAAAAAAAAAAAACAAAAAAACAAACAAACAAAAAAACATATAATTTTAAAATGTAGCCTTGTTAAAATAAAATTGCTCTCTACTGCCACTTTTTATTTTTTTTTATTTATTTTTATTTTATTTTTTTTTAAAGATTTTATTTATTTATTTGAGAGAGAGAATGAGAGATAGAGAGCACGAGAGGGAAGAGGGTCAGAGGGAGAAGCAGACTCACTGCTGAGCGGGGAGCCCGATGCGGGACTCGATCCCGGGACTCCAGGATCATGACCTGAGCCGAAGGCAGTCGCTTAACCGACTGAGCCACCCAGGCGCCCCCCTACTGCCACTTTTTAAGTATAGGAAGCCTACCAGAGATTTAAAAAATTATAACTTATTTTCTTTGCTCTCCATTAAAAAAAAATTCAGCTGCATAATTCATTTAAAATCTACTGGGTATAGAATGTAAAATCAAGCTCTAATATTAACAGATTTCCTATTAATTGTTCCAATATTATAACTTCTCTTTTCCTCACTGATTTACTGCTTCCACTATCATGTATTCAATTATTAATCTTTTTCTAAGCTGCAAATTCTGTTAATCCATTTTTACATTATACAGTTGACCCTTGAAAAATGTAGGGGGTGGTTAGGGATGCCGACCCCAATCCCCCGCAGTTGAAAATCCACGCATAACTTTTGGCTTCCCAAAAACTTACCTACTAATAGCCTACTGTTGACTTACCAATAACATAAACAGTTGATGAACATGTATTTTGTATATGTATCATATACTGTATTCTTATAATAAAGGTAGAAAAAATATTACAATCATAATGAAAATACATTTACAGTACTGTACTAATTGAAAAAAATTTCAGGTATAAGTGGACTCAAGCAGTTCAAACCCATGGTGTTCAACGGTCAACTGTACTATCTTCAAAACTGTAGCTTATCTTCCCTCATTACAACTGCATTTCAAAACATTTCTTATAGTCTCACTTGCTTATTTTTCCAGAGTAAATTTATTTATTTATTTATTTATTTATTAAAGATTTTATTTATTTGACAGAGAGAGACACAGCGAGAGAGGAAACACAAGCAGGGGGAGCAGGAGAGGGAGAAGCAGGCTCCCCGCTGAGCAGAGAGCCTGATGACATGAGCCGAAGGCAGACGCTTAAAGACTGAGCCACCCAGGCGCCCCTTCCAGAGTAAATTTAATGTTAAGTTCCAAAAGAGGGAATTTTGGTATTTTTAATTTGAATTATATTAGGCTGATATAATTTGGAGAAAGTATTATATGTAACATTGATGTATGGTATCAATACATTATTCTTCACTACAGCAAAACATTAATAGTTATGAATTTATATTCAACATTCCCAAATACAATTTATTCACAAAGTTTTCAACATAATTCCTTTTAAGGCTATTCCTAGATATTTCATATATTTTATTGCCAGTATGACTCACCATCCTTCCTTATCACTAACTTCTTACACTAAAACTGATTCAGAAGTTTGTTGATCGTAACTTATCTCAGCTTTAACTTTATATGGTTTGAATGTTTTTTTAAGATTTTATTTATCAGAGACAGAGAACAAGCAGGGGAACAGCAGAGGGAGAGGGAGAAGCAGGCTCCCCGCTGAGCAGGGAGCCTGATGAGGGGCTCCATCCCAAGACCCTGGGATCATGACCTGAGCCAAAGGCAGACATTTAACCAACTGAGCCACCCAGGCACCCCTTGAATGGTTCTTGAAAGTAGTTTTGCTTTGTATGCAAATCTATATTGACAGCTATTTTCTATAAATGCTATGAAATACTTTTGATAACTGCCATCTGGCTTCCACAGTTGCTATTGAGAAGTGTGTTGTCAATCTAATAGTCGTCTTGTGTATGTGATCTGTTTGTCTTTTCTCTTTGGCACTGTTTTTTATTTTTTATTGTGGTAAAATAAAACTTGTGATTTTAACCATTTTTTAAATGTACAACTCAGTGGCATTAATTATATTAACAATGTTGTACAACCACCACCATTTCCAAAATTTTTCAAAACAGAAACTCTGTACCCATTAAATAATAACTCCCCACTCCCGCCTCCCCCAGCTCCTTACAACTTTTCATCCACTTTCTGTCTCTATGGATATACACATTCACATACAACATTCACACTGTTATACAATCAATCTCCACGATTCTCTTCACCTTGTAAAACTCAAAACTCTATACCCATTAAACATCATCTCCCCTTTTCCCTTAACAATCACCACTGTACTTTCTGTCTATAAATTTGATTACTGTAGTTCATCTAAGTGGAATCATACATTTGTCCTTTTGTGACTAGCTTATTTCACTTAGCATAATGTGTTCAAGGTTCACCCATGTTGTAGCATATGCCAGAATTCTTTCCTTTTTACGGTTAAATGATATTCCATTTTATGTATATACCACATTTTGCATATCCATTCCTCTGAAAATTGGTACTTGGTTTGCTTCTACCTTTTGGCTATTGTGAATAATGCTGTTTTGAACACTGGTTTACAAATATTTGAGTCCCTGCTTTCATTTCTGGGGAGTATATACCCAGAAGCAGAACTGCTAGATCATACAGAAATTCTATGTTTTTGAGGAACCATCAAACTGTGTTTTCCATAGCTGTTGCACCATTTTACATTCCTACCAGAAACAGAAGTTTCCCCCATCCTAACACTTGT